TTTGCCAGAATTCTCCACAGATTACTATTAGCCTCATTTATGAGACTGCACAAAGAACTGTGAAATCTCTTTTGAACTCTAAGGGCCAGATGGTTTTGCTGTTAGATTCTAATGACCCACAGCAGTGTGCATACACAGACACTACGGTTGCCAGTAGACTGCAAACATGTGATGGAGGCAGGAGAATTCATGACCTGTGCTTCCAAAACACAAGTCTCCTCACTACTGATGGGATAAAAAAAGCATTCTGCTGCTGCCTCAAAAGGGGGATTATTACTAAAGCAAGCCATGAGCATACCTAGACCTGAGGAGTGAATGGCAGGCACATCATCCCATGCAATTTCAGGAAGACTTCTGCTGAGGATCAGGAAGCTGCAAGTGGCTTTTGCTGGGAGGTGAGGGTTTCCTGGCAGGCTGTGTGGGCCCCTGGTCCCAGCACTGTATCATTCTGTGCTGGAAGAGGGAGGGAAAGGCTGGACTCAAACCAATTAAAGCTGTGGGGCAGAATGGTAGTTACTCTGCTGTCATATGGAACTGCTTGTAAGACATGATTTATTTTGGATTATATTGGTTTCAACTGGTATAATATGAACTTCCTGATTTTTCAGGGGTATGTAGACAAAAAGACTAAACATGGTTTTACTCATCTTTTAATTTGGAACTACAAGTGTTTGGATGACCTATGAAATTATTTTAATGATCTCTGCACAACACTGAGCTGTCAGCACTATAAATGTCATCCTAACTGGGTATTAGTTTCCATCATGGCCATTTAGTCTCCCCAGCAGAGATACCTCCATGCAAATCTCTTATCTGCGTCAAGCTGTTGGAAAAAAACAGAGTCACTGTTGCCAAGAAGCATCAGTCAGACATCTTCATAATGCTCAGCTTGAAGAGGAAGACACGAACAGAAAATCCAAGAGCACCATGTGTGCACAGCTTACCCTTGGAGCTTCAGGCATAGCAGTCAGGGGATGATTTGCATTCAAACCAATGCTTTTATTTCTGATCATTAAAAATGTGTTCCAGCATTGCTCACACTAGTTGATATAGATTTACCCTTAACTTACCATTTTCCTCCCTTAGCTTTAGAACACTAGGAAAAGTCACAGGGTAAGAAGGACTTCTGTGAGTGAGAAGTGTGACTAATTGAATTTGATACAACTTTAGACTGCTGGTACGAGATGACTATGAACTCATCACATGAGGCTGTTCTTTTGTTCTCATATAGAAAGCAAAGAAATTGTTTGACCAGTATGAGCTGTAAGGATATGTGTATGATATTGACATAAAGTAACAGAATTTGAAAATAAAAAAACAAAATGAGGGGTGTGTGTCAGAGGGGGAGTAGAAGAAGTGTAGAAGATAAACAGTTGGGCTTTTAGCACTCAAAACTTACAGCAGAAATAAAACCATCAAAATTTTGTGTATTCTCCTTCTTAGGCATTTTGTGGGATTTTTCCTGTTCAGAGTTAGGAATATTATCCTCAAGTTTTAAATTATTATCCTTTGCCTTAGCTTACATGCTTAATATTTTAAGCATGGCAAAAGAAATACTGATGCATTTTAGATTTGTTCTTGTTTGATAGATGTTTAAATGATCTGGTCATAGGATTTTTCCAACACTTTCACTTGTTCTTCCTGTATCATACATATTTACAAAAGACACCTAGTGTTGACTTGTACTTGGGTATGATATAAAAAACCCTGAAGTTTGCTTTCAAGTGTATGGAACATCAGCTGATCTACATGCAGTGTACAATAGCTGTTTTTCAAACTTAGGATAAAAACGAAACATGACAGCACTGTGTTGCACAAATCTCCTCTTAAGATGGCTAACACAAGTGAGAGAACCTCTGACAGAGTAGAAGTTCTACTTTTCTTACCATCTTACTCTGCAGACTCCTAGCAGGGAAAATATGTAATAGTTCAGAGCTCTTGTTTCTTGCTTACAGCTTTATTTTGCTCCAGAGCACCTATTTAACATCTCTTGTCCATGGCTATCTTATAGTTCCAGTCTTCCCCATAACCAAGGCAGATTGTCTTTCTTTCCAGTTAATGGAACATGCAGATGCAGCACTTGTGAATCAGAAGTGTCACTTTCAAAGCCCTGAAAAGATCTTTTAACTCAGTAAACACAAGGTTTAGCAAGTTGAAGCATTAGTATCTACAGTGTGTCAAAATGGTTCCAAAGGCATCACATCCACAGCAGTTTAAGAGATTAAAGGGGTGCTTGGGAAATTTCTTGTTATTCCTGAAGACCTCAGTTCTTCTGCTCAGGGTGACCTAAGTAAGCAGGCACTAGTTCTCACAGGACTGGACCTTACTGGATTTATATGTCCAGCCACCTTTCCCACTCAGCCAGGCTGAAGCAGGAAAAGCAATTCCTTTGAAAACTGGCACTTGCAGTGATTCAGCTGCCACAAGCCGGAGCCCTCGATGTGACATGAGTGGGCACAGCTCCCAGCATGTCAGTAGTGTGTGCCACTAATACTGGCTCAGGGACTGAGCCCTGCTTCTGGGCTTGCATAGCTAAACTTCTTCCATTTAAGGGAGCAAGCATAACATGTGCTGGTCTCCAGATCCCAAGTCCAGTGGAAACCTAGCCGGCAGTAAGCAAGCACTGCCAAGGACCTCTCGACATGAAGCACTACTATAGCAAAGGTCTTGAATGACTAAAATTCTTGAAAGCCTTGGTCAGTATCACAGACAGTTTCCAACTGGGCAAAGTACAATATTTTCCTTCTGCTTTTTATGAATGGCTGGATAGGGTTGTGCTGGAGTCAGAGTCCCCTGTGGAAGCCATTCATAAAAATAACAAAACAAAACAAACGCATGCAAAAAAACTTTCAAGGTCCAGTCCAAAGCCACTGGGTGCCAGAGGCTGGGAAAACATGCTGGCAGCTCAAGCCCCAGCTATCACTGAAAGTATTCAAGGGGCTTTTTGGTGGTCTGAAAAGTATGAACTGCTGTGTAGAAGGGCAGCTGGTAGAATTACTGTGACACATACTAGGCAGAAAGCCAGAGCTGGCCTTGTTTCAGACATTGTCTTTCCTCTCATTGAAGTGTCAGGACCTAATTCATGGAAAATATGGTAAGTTGGCAGCTCTTTCAGAAGATTTCATTGAGCTACAGTGAGTGAGAGTCACATGAACATAGAGTGCACAGCCAAAAATATATGGGGATTTCTGAGCTGAAGAAAACAGTCAGCCTCTAAAAATGTCTGTGGATTTCATGTGGTTTGGGAGTAGACACATGTACAGGTGTAATCAACAGGCAAAAAAAAGAAAATAAAAGAAAGTGAAAAAACACTATTGGCAGATTACAGAAGAGCTCAGTGAGTTCTGTAATTATGAGAGATTCCTTTAAAACAAATCATTCCTTTGTCCAAGGGCAGCAAGTATCCATTAATGAGTTCAGGGCCTGCAGTCCACCTGGAGAAGGCATCAAAAAAATGTGTGCCTTGATAATAGCTTCTCCATTGCAAGGAAATTTAATGGAAAAGGAAAGGGTCCACCCAGAAGTTTAAAGACAGACCCAGTCATCACATAGTTTTTTTACTCTCATATTTATTTGAGAGCACAACTTGGAGCCTGTTATATAAAAAAATACAAGAGCAGATTCCACTGAGTTAGAAAAAGACTGAAAATAAACAAAGCATCTCTTGTTAAAATGGGACACTTGTGGTGGGCAGTCTGAATTTAATCAGTTACATTTAATTTACATTTTCATTGATCCTTCCCACTAAAATATTGCTCTGAAAGGCCAGTTACACTAAATTGCTTATTCAAAAATATTCCAGTTATTTCCTACTACACTGTCATGAAAATTAGGTTTTTGGCTGTGCAGAGGGATGGATGCCTGTTGGCTTCTGCCCAAGAAAGGCACTAAAATCATGGCTGGGATTAGGATGAAGCAGGAAGGAAGGGCAGCAAGAAAATCACTGGGTGCAATTCATAGACTTTAAAAACAGAATGTCTGGGGGAGGGGGGCAGGCAGCAACTTTGTCCCACTGAAGCAAGAAAAGCCTTTTTGTCCTTTCTGTGTCAGGATTTCATCCTTTATCTGTGGTCTTATTGTTCTGTGTTGCTGCTAGCACCCACAAGGGTCATCCCACCATCTGGGCAATGCTGGTGTATTTTAAGCATGTATATATTTGTTCCTTAATTCGTACTCCTCTTCTCCCAGGTGGGGATGAAGCATACCAGCACTTTGGTGAGTCTCCTGGCTCATGTGAGGACTGTGTTTTCCAGCCCTGGGTGGAACCAGCCAGGAGAGACTTGCTGAGAATCCATGGTAGTACTACCAGGTCCTGCATAGGCAGGTGGACACACCCAACCTGGCCAAGGATGGGCATCCCTATGATTCACACCAATAGGCTTGCAAGGGTCAGCACAGCATTGCCTTCATGAAGCTGAAGGTCTCAAACCACAACTTCCAAGGGCTGGAATCACTGGCCATCCCAGTCTCCTTGATTTTGGCAAGGGTGGCTTTGGTCAAGTGGGAATCTGTGGTTTAGGAATGGGATTATGTATCCTTCACCTCTCTGCCTGAGCTTTGACCTACCCATGATGAGTGGGGAGATTTCCCCACAGCAGGACACTCCATTCACAGAGACATGAGAGTGTTGTAACAGGGAAGCAGCAGAGACAACAAAATCTAGTTACAAAATCAAGTCACTCTCATGGTCTGATAAGGCAGCAGTACCATAGAAGAGCTGAGAGATGTAACATGCTAAATTAGATTTCACCTCGGTTTTAATTGTAAAAACTTAGCATACTCCTCTTCATCCACAGTAATATGAACTGCTTCAGAGCAAACTATTAGATAGGAGAGTCTGGGTGTGAGAGCTGATTATGTTCATCTTTCCATTTCTGACTGTGGGCTTTTCCTGTGTTATATCTCTATTGATGAAAATATTTTTCCTAGCGCTCTTAAAGTCACAATTAAGTGCTCTCACTTAATTTTGTTTCTGACCGTGCCTTTGTTTTGCTTTTCAGCCTCAACAAGTGGTTCAAAAGAAGCCTGCTCAGGTAAGAAAAACCAATTAAAATTATTTTGCCTACTTCAAGTGAGACATTTTTTTTAGTATTTCAACTGGCCTCTTTTACTGTAAAGAAAGAAGGGAAATGCATCAATTGTATGAGCTGGGGGACAGCTATTGGCTTGCTGGGCACAACTACCAGAACAATATATGCAGTGGCCCTTGGGAAAGAGAGGAGGAAGCAGTGGACAGTGCCTGCTCCAAATTGTCCTCTTTCTGCATTGGTCACCTTGCAGTGATAATGCAGAAACACAAGCACAGTTCTGTAGTGTGAGTCCAGCATGTAGTAAATACCTCTGTGTGTCCTGAACGTGGATAGGTGGGAACTGCATTACAGCAAGGAGGGACATATGCATAAAACCCACCTCTCTGCTTTCCTAAAATAGAGGTAAAGCCTTCTAAAATAAGGGCCTTGTTACCCTTGTTAAATCATGGCTCAGGTCTGCTACTCAGGCTAAGTAGAAGGGAACTATGGGAGAGGGACTCAGCTGGAATAAGGGTGGAGAGACATTAGAGATGTGCTGCGTGACTGCTGCATGCCCACATCACAGTGTGTGGTGGTTGGTTGACTTGGGCCTATTGTGCCTTAAAACTCTGTAAAGTGATAAACTGCTTAAAAAGACCTGAATTTTGCAAAGAAGCTCTCCTTTGCACTGCCTGGGGACTCTGCATCGCTCTGCATCATCACACTGAAGGATTCTCTAAATCCACAAAATTCAATAGGCTGAATGTAGTAACTAGACTGGATCCATCATAAAGACTAACGTGTTGGAACTTTTTGTGTTGGGCAGTATTATTCTTTTTGAACACATTGAAAAAAATGCAAGCCACAAGGTGTCATGACTGCAGTTCATGTCAAACACTGCAGTTACAATCCACTTCATTTTCTTCACCCAGCCTGCTCTGAGTTAAAAACCCCAAGAAACTAACTCTAACACTTTGTTATATGTGCACCAAGAGAAAAAAAAACCTCTGGGCATGAAAGCAAGTCCATCACTGCCCAGCAGAGCCCATGGGCTGCTGCACCTCCATACAGATGAATGATTGCTGAGTCAGGAGCATAAAGGGTCTATTGCTCTTCTGGAAAGAGGTCTGCTTTTAAAAAGGAATAATACTTTCATTTTTCCACCTTATGGTTCTAATACATTATTATACACTGTACAATTGTCATAATATCAACTGCAATCTGAATTAGGAGCTGTTGCATACGAAACAGAAAACATCCTAGCCATGAGCTGAAGGGGTAAAATGATGTAACCCTCCAAAGCATTTGTAGGAATCAGATTTCTACAAAATAAATCAATGCAGTTGCAGCAATGATGAATCCATGGCACAGCTAATAATATTAATGTCTCTGAATGGTGGAGGTAATACACAGGATGAATCTGGTAGTACTTTAGGAGAGATAATGTCTTTTGTTAGGCCAGCTTGTGCAAAAAACACAGCCTGATCTGACTACACCACACAATTCAGAACACACCAAGCTGTTCTAATAGAAGATATTTCCGTGTCTTGCTTATATCCTTCAAATGTTACTGCTACAATCAGGTTATTCCTACTACCACATGGTAGTAAATCTGCCAGTGAGCACAAAGCCAGCTCTCTCCTCTGTGGCACCCAAGAGACAGGGAGGCTAAACCCTGCTGCAGAGAGGAGACCAAATCCAGGAGGCAGAGACTCCCAGGAGGCTCTTAATGTTGCCTTTTCCTCTGGTACGCAGCAGACCTCAATCCCACCAAGGTCAGCAGGAAGAAGGGGTGTAGAGCTGATGGCTCCAGCCTAGCCTAGCAGAAACCATTGCTGCCAATGGCCTTGTGGTCCTGCCAGGTTTCCAAGCTCCCCAGGCACTCACTCCTGCAAGGGTTTTGTTTGCACAATAACCATGTGCAACCCTGGGTACAAGAGAAGAGGAAATACCTGGGATTGAAGATGGGCTGGGGTGTAGGAGGACAAAGAGGGGACCTGGACTCTGTTTTGTAGCAGAACAAAGTACTGACAGATTTAATTGATGGCAAAATGATGTAGGCATTTGAACTGAAGCACTAGCATTCCCCATATGGATTTTCCTGATCATTTGCTGAAGCAGTGATTCTGGTAGGGATGTTGTAATGTGTGTCAACCAGCTGGATGCCACCACTGCTGCAGTGGTGCCTCAGCAGCATCCCTGTAGGCAGAGACAGAGAGAGTGAGACAGAGATAAGAAAACCCTTTGACATTCCCACTAGTAATGGTAGTGTTTGTGCAGAAAGGGAGGAGGCACAGAAGAATACATGAAAGGAGAGAGAAGGCTGTTTAGGTCTCTCCAGTTACCACAACCGACTAGTGAAAGAACACCTTAAATTATCTACATGCCATGTCTTTACACAGACAACATTTCTGTTTTTAATCCTTAGACAAAAGGATGTTCAGTGAAATCACTGAACTTATCTTCAACCCTTCCTGGTTTCAACAGGCCCCACCCTCACACTTACAGTACTACACCATTGCAGTTTTGCTGTTATAGGTGCATGGCTAGGAACAAAAATTTATCACTGTGGGCAAATGCTCATGACAGTATCTTCCTGAGGCTGAAAGAAGGAAAGGTAAAACAGTGTATTTCCTGGGATGATCAAGAACTTCATGTTACTGGGTTTCACTCAGGTCTGGTTGCCTCTCTCTGATTTCTTTTTATAGTACCTAATTTGCCTTTAAAATAGGGAGGTTCAGACTCAGAATTAACAACAAGAACATGAGCTCATGCAGGCTTTCTAATCTGAGCTGTTTTAAGGAAATAGCGATAAATTATGTAAACATGGGGACTACATGGACGTTCATGGAGGATAATGTAAAACTTATACTACATTCAGAGGAATCTCTTCCTTTTCCATCTACTTCCTTCAGAATATCCTCTCAGGTGGCTTTACTATGTAGCAGTCTGGATTAAGTTAGAAATGTATACTTTCTTCATTGGTGAGGGCTGTAAGAGGTTACAGTCAAAAACTGCCGGTTGATGGTGAGCCTGCCTTGGTAAAAGTGGCAAAACCTCTTGCTCAGGCTTGGTCCCTGAGTGGTCTCCTGTGCTTTGAATTTTATGTGTAGTCTTAAATATTTCTATGAGTGTTGGTTTACATCACTCCTGTTCTTGCTGCTAGCAAATATGTCTCTTGGGTTTGTGTCACTTTTAAAAGTACAGAAGCAGTAGGACCAGATAAAATTCTCATTTTGCAAATAACAGCTCTGTTCCTATCACCATTTCCCAGATTTTAAGCATTGTGCAGGGCTCTGTCATGCTCTAAATCTGTTCATGGATGTCAGCTGTACAGTTTAGGGCCATATAGATGTTTATGTAAACTCCTGCAATACCTTTAAACTTTGACAGAGCTCTGATGATTTACCATCACACAGACAGTAAATAGCAGCAGTAAAACCCACTGAAAATCTACACAACCATATTATTAATACAAGCCTTTGAATACAGTGGTCTGTTCACATCTTTGTGATGATCACTGGTGCATACTCTCACACTTCCTTGGGGAAATGAAGAAAAGAGCCAACATAACTGCGTGACATTGGTAAGTTTAGCACTTTCACGTAAGATATTTGCCTAAACCTCAAAATGAGACTCTTTGAAATCTGCTCTGTCTCTAAAGAATGTACAGCTGGAGCTTACAGTCATGACGTAATATTTTTACCGAGGTGTGCAAATACATAGTCCAAACAGAAATTTCTTCATTTGTTCATTTTTAAGCAATATGTAGCAGCTGTTGACTCAGCCATATGGGGGAGTTACACTCTTAAGTAATATGAAGGAAATAGATGTTTTTATGAAAACACAATGAAAACTATCAAAATTTTCTGGAAACAGGACATGTTTTATTTTTATCATTTCCACAGAAGACATATAATGAACATAGAACAGCCCTTTGAAAATCTTATCTCTCTTAAAATCTCAAATCCTTGAAATCTTTTTGTATCTGAGTCTGAAGGACAGCATACCAGTCAGAAAGATGGTGTGTAGATCAGAATAAAAGTATATCAGTCAGAAGAGTGCACGTAAAGTATACATAGAACAGTGTACAGAAGAAAGTGTACAGGAAACATGCACTGAAGGAACAAGTGAAGCATACTTCTCTACCTAATTCTAAATGTAGTAGGTGTTTTTAACACAATGTCCAAAGAAATCAAATCCAACAAGAATAAACACTAAAAAGTGTTATTACAAAATAATAGGAAAGAAGAGATGGATTTCCTATGTTTTTTCCTGCTACTCATTTCTCAGTGATGATACCTTATCAAAGTGCACACACTTAAAATCTGATGTGACAAAAAGGAATCAGATTTAGCAAGATTTTTCTTTTCTTCATGGCTTGTGAAGCACTGTCTAGGGGATTCAGTCTTGCCTACCGCAGTGTGCCACTGAAAGATGTCATGTCCCTGTCAGCCAGTTTATGAGTCAGTCAAAGAGAAGGAGTGCTGTGACTTAGTTCAACGTAGAAGGAGCCTTCATTTCTGAACAGGAGCAGCAGTGGACGCTTGACAGCTCACACTTACAATACTTATTTCCCTAAGGGAAATTCTAGGACAGGAGATAGCTTTCTGAATGCAGCACTGGTCACACATTTTCCCGTTCAACACAGACATGCTTTCAGGTCCCTGCTCTTTTCCAGTGTGCTGGGCAAGAGCTGACCCTAAAAGCAGGGATGTAAAACTTCAGGGACTACAGCTGTTGAGCCACTCCTTGCATAGCACAGGGGGAGTAGGTGTTGCAGATGGTGGTAGAAGGCTAGAGGATGAAGGGGTGAGCTAAAAGATTTCCCTATGCCAGCAATGCTCCTCTTCAGCCTCTCCCTACCTCTTCCCTCCCCACTCCTTGCTTGAGGAAGAAGCCCGAGGTGGGCAGGCAACATCTGTGGGCAGGGTGGCTTTGTGTTTGACCCCATGGCTGTGACCACAAAAGGTGTTTAGGGAGGTACTCCTTCCAGTTCAGAGCTGAGCTCTGATTTGACACTG